CAATGCATAAATAATCACATGTTTTATAAATAGCCGTGGACAAGAGGCTGTAAAACAACGAAGATATATTTGTGCCTTTATGTCCTAGAAATATTTTCTAAAACGACTGTTTTATTTGGTGTGGTTTTGAATGGGGGTGTGTGTGTACATAACAATCCCCAAAGTTTTCCCCTGCCCCCCCACCTCAGGTCAAACCAGCACTATCTTTAGCAAATTGATAAGGTTCCATGGGCAAGCTTTATTCGTTCTGACACGAGCCTATGACACTTTATAAAAAGAAGTAATCCAGAACAATCTCTAGGTAATTAACACCTAGATAAACAAACATAAATTTCTATATTGCATTTATTTGGACTACCACTCAAATATGCGTGAACCATGCTTTTTTAATTAAAAGATAAATCCATGTGACACTTAGCCTCAAACTTAATTATTCAGCATAGTATAATAAAAAATAGAGCCCATTAAATGTGTCTTGCACTGTATTTCTGTATTAACAGCAAAACAGTTCAGTCTGGGATCATTTAAATTTTCCCCCTCCTCTTTGCTTGTGATTTCCCTGTTCACATAAGCCCTTCCTCTCCCTCCCTGCCTCCCTCCCTCCCTCCCTCTATCTCTCTGTTCTCTTAACACCAACAGGTGAAGAGATTAAAACTCTACACAAGCCCCTACATGGAATGCTCAGCTGGGCGACATTTTTAATATTGCATTACACTATGAATTTTTTTCCTTCCCCATGGAAACATACCTCTAGTTCTGTGGAACGGGCCCAGCCTTTCTATCTTGAAAAGAAGATCACAATATTTAACACTAATTTCCTTGGGATTGTGCTTACAATACACCAGGTGAGGTTTTCATAATATACTGTTACAATACAGATGTTCAACAGAGAGGAGGAAGTGTGCAAATCCCAAACTACAAGAGACAGCAGGGTTATCATCTTTATAAAAGTTTCAGCACAAAATAGTATCTTAACACTGAGCATGAGCAGCTCAGCAGTTTCCGGCTGCTGGGAAGAGAAGTTCACATTTGAGGCATTCCCCACCTAGTCGAAGCAGGAACAGAGATCTACTCATTCAGTCACTCAACAGCGAGTATATAAACGAGGACCGTGTGCCAAGCGCTGTGTGGAGTGCTGTGTGTGCCTTGTCACCTTTTACCCTTATAGGAAAGGTACTGTGCAAGGAAAATTGAACCCGAGTCTTGAGTTACCAAGGCCCATGCTCTGAGTCCCTTGGCTCCCCAATGGAGCCTCCTGGGTAAAGGGCAGGAATCGCTCAGCTCAGCTGGGATGTGTGCCTTTGCAGAAAGTAGCCTTGGACCCAGTTGACCAATGGTCAGTTTTGTCCAGGGCTGTCCTGCTTTTAGTACCGAAGTTCTGCAACCTGGGAATCCCTTTATTTGGGAAAATCAGGATGTTTGTCATCCTACGTAGACTCCTCCAGCAAATGGTGCTGCTGCCCCTGTGGCCAAGCCCATCCCCAAAAGGACGGACTGGAGCCGTGAAAAGACCTTGAATTGGGCCCAGGCAACACCCACCCACTCCTTTCCAAAAGACCGAGGCCCCTGGGTGTGATTGATGACTGATGGTTGTCTGGGATCCTGTAAATTTGTTGAAGAAGGCATTTGGATCTTGTTACATCGACTCCTATATTGCTGATCTCTGACAAGTCAGAAAGCGATGCATCTGCAGAATGCACCACATTGCAGTGTTCAAATGAGTTCCTAGCTGGTGTCAGTTTCAGCAACAGTCCTTGGAACCTGGTGCTACCTAGCTTGCTCTCTGTGTAGCTTGATTAATGCAGTTATGTACTGCTAGCTCATGTAAGCTCAGAAAGAGCCTTGTTGTGGGTTCCATTTCTGCTTCAGAGATAAAGAAGCAGATCTGGGGAGCTGGAATGACCTGCCCAGATCCCACAGGTCGGAGAGGTGGAGACAAGCCCTCCGGAGCTCATCCAGCCCACACAGCCTTTGCACTACTTCTCCACCCGGCGCCTTGTCCTTCACATCTCAGTTCATTGCCGCCCTTAGCGAAATTTTCTGGGATGTGTTCTCTCTGAATCTCCTCTTCCGGATGTGTTATACTTAACTCGTGTGATTATCAAATTGAAGTCTGTTTTCTCCTTAGACAGGGATCTGTGGCCTTGGTCTCTGACTCACTCCTGTATCTCCAGCCTGTGGCCTGATGCCTGGCACACAGTAGGTCTCCTGTAAACTTTCATCAAACAAGTGGAATGACATTTAACCCCAGGACCAACTCTTTTCCCCCTGCATCCCACTCTTTCCCTATCTGCCCCTCAAGACCCTGAGAATGGCAAGAAAGTGGTGAAAATACTGCTTTTTCAAATGAGAAAGCTGGAAGACAAAAAGTTTAAGACACTTGTCCAAGATCTTTTTGTCTGAAGGAGGTGAATGTGGAGGAATCTTGACCACCTGACCACTGGGGAGCCCTTTCGAAACACAGAAGTGTTGGTGTATAATGCTTTGTGGTTAAATTAATCTCAAGTATAGACATGGCTTATCACACCACAATAGCAACAATGTAACATTTGTAGAGTCCTTTATAAATTATATATAATTTCCCCTACTTTACTGAAATTTAATTTTGTAATTTTCAGATAACAGTCAATGAACTCAGAACAGCTAAACTGTTCAAGATCAAGTATCCAGTAAGTAGTATAGCTAGGATTCAAATTTAAGTCAGGACACCCCAATTTTGTAATTTTTTTTACAATGTACTAATCTGCCAATTGTCTATGACTTTTTAAGAGCTCAGAATATTTTGATGGAAATATATACTGGTGCTTCTTAAAAAGGCCTCCTTCTAGTTCTGTTTTTTATTTTATAATAGCTGTATTGAGGTATAATTCACATACCATAAAATTCACCCTTCTTAAAGTGTACAACTCAGTGATTTTTAGTATATTCAGAGTTGGGGAACTACCATCACTATCTGATTTTAGAAACATTTTATCTCTGAAAAAAGAAACATCCTACTCTTTAGCCATGAGTCCCTCCTCATTCTCCCTTCTCCCCAAATCCAGCCACCATTAACCTATGTTTGGTCTCCATGGATTTGCCTATTGCATTTCCTATAAATGAATACAGTATGTGATGGCTTCTTTTGTGATTGGCTTCTTTCACTTAAGCACAGTGTTTTCAAGTTTCACCCATGCTATAGCCTGGGTCAGGTCTCCATCCCTTTTCATAGCAGAATAATATTCCATTCTTGACAAAATAATAATTTGAAAAGATACATGCATTCCAGTGTTCATAGCAGCACTGTTTATAATAACCAAGACACAGAAGTAACCTAAATGTACATCAGATAAAAGGATAAAGAAGATGTGGTGTGTGTGTGTGTGTGTGTGTGTGTGTGTGTGTGTGTATAAATGGAATATTAGTCATAAAAAAAGCGAAATAATGCCATTTGGAGCAAAAAGGTTGGACCTAGAGATAATTATACTAAGTGAAGTAAGTCAGAAAGAGACAAAGGTCGTCAGAAGATATCACTTATGTGTGGAATCTAGAATATGACACAAATGAACCTATCTAGGAAACAGAAGCAGACTCAAACACAGAGAACAGACTTCTGGTTGCCACGAGGGAGAAGGGTAGGGGAAGGACGGTTGGATATTTGGGGTTAGCAGATGCAAATTGTTATATATACATAGACGGGATAAGCAGCAAGGTCTTACTGTATATCACAGGAACTATATTCAATTTCCTGTGCTAAACCATGATGAAAAAGAAAAAAATTGCAAATGTGTGTACAAGTCATATTTTGATCATCTATTTATCACACAGTTTTTAAATACACATTTTGAGCCAATATGTAAAATTAAGAGACTTCACTCAAAATCCAGGGGTCCAGTGTCACTTGCAAACTCAGAAGCCCTGATGCCACATTCCTCTTGGTGATCAGGCACTGTACCGGGGTTTCTCATTGCCCCTGAGACCCTGATGCAAATTCCTCCTGTCCTCCTCTTGCCACTGAGGTGTCCTGCCTAGCCACTGGAAGCATTTGGGATTGGATCCATCATGTATGCGGAGTCATGTCCCCTCCATCAACCTTCCTTCCCTGATGGGTCCCTTTTTTGATCTCTCACTAACCCCTCATGACTCACCTTTGCTGTGTGACAATGGACCCTTAGGATGGTCATCTGTTCCTGTCCAGGAACACCAACAGTTTGGCCTCCTGAAAGAAACCCGGTGATTATAGATTCTTATAGCATGGCTGGATGCCTTTGCCTCCAACATTTCGGTGAGGCTGACCTATTCCAGAGCTGCAGCATTTACCATGGGAGCTGGGTTTTGAAACCATGCCACCACTAACAATGAAAAATAAGTCAAAAAGCCAGCCTGCACATCAAGTGTGGGGCGCACACCAAACCCGAGAAGACCAGTGTCAGAATTCTGCTTTTTATGTAGCCCTGAAACCATAGATTTTTATTATTCTTTGTTCTTTTCCTTTGCTTCTGGAGAGAGAATTCAGCTTGTCCTCTGATCGGAGGTAAAAGACTTCCTAGTTTTTAATGATTTTTTAAAAAAACTTGCTACTAGTAAAGGAGAATAATAGATCCCAATGCTTTAAGTGTCTGGTGTAATTACTATAATATGAGGAGCATTGGTGTTTGCATGGGTATTACCTCACTGTAACCTGTGTCTGCAAGCTTTCAAAGAAACACACGCACATGGGTGTGTGTGCATGCTCACACACACACACACACACACACACACACACACGCTGTTTGTACACCCAGAGATACACTTTCAGCTTGAAATTTGAAAAAGAACCAGGCTATGGGAACCATCCACACAGAATACTGCAGGGCTTTTTGTTAGAACTGCGGTTTGACCAAGCATTACCCAAGTCTGACAAAGCTACAAAAATATGTTTTGCTTCTCCTAGTAAACATACGCGAATAGGAAGAAATGGGTTTTTTTTTTTTTTCCAGAGGTAGAGGTTTTATTGCGTAAAACACTGGATAAAACTGGACTGCTTCAAAGACATTTTATTCTAACAGCAGAAAGAAAACAGTCATTGCTGAAAAAACAACTTTTAATACTTTCTATACCAGAATAAAGTTCTGTCAACTGATGTATTATAATAATAAATAATGACCAAGAATAAACTTTAAATACAAAGTTTTCTACTTGTTACAAGCATAGCAACAAAATCCTCTACTCTATTGATCTCAGATTTCCTCCAAGATAGATTTTTTTTTCTTTGTGTAGGAATGTAGACAGTATTATGACCAGCATCACAGACTACAGAAGTTACAGGGAAGAAACTTGACATGTTTAGATATGAGAACCTGATGACATTCAGAAACTGACACTGCATCACTGCGGCTGTCACTTGTTTGCATTACAAGTTACAAATGTTCTGGAGAGAAGGCCTGTGTCAGGGGGGAAATAAGGACGGTAGCACTGGACAAAATGGGATCAACGCACACGCCACAAAGAAGAGGGGATGTTCCCAGTGTCACAAACAGAATTATTGCCTGTCGCATCTGACGATGCTCAGAAGACACAAAAGGATACTGAAAGAGCGCCCAAAGTGCTAGAAATGGAATGTGGCTCTCGTTTTTTTTTTTTTTTCCACTTTTTTTTCCTCTTTTTTCCTCTTTTTACTTTTTTTTTTTCTTCTTTTTTATATTTTTCTTTGCTAAGATACCAAAGGCGGGGGCAAACACACAGAAAGCAAGCGACTGGCACAGTCACCAAACACAGTAGTGCAGTTAAAATCCTAAAGCTTACTACAGTCGGAAAGTTTTCAATAACATTTCAGTCCTTTCTCTAGGATCATAGAAACAGTTGCATTAAGTTTATCAACTCGATTTAAGTAAGGCAGTGAGAACTATTCTAGAAAAACAAGAAAGCAGCTTGCTCTATGCCAGATGGGTCCACATTGTACAGTGATTGCGTTTACACTGAAACCCCGGGTGGATGTCACCCTCTCGACAGCATATGCAAACCGGATTCCTTATTAGCCTGAGATTCCTTCTGGTCTCAGGATAGCGAAGCATTTTATTTACATTGATTGCAGTTTAGTATTTTTGTAAACTGCTGTAGGCAGAGCTGAAGTTTTTAAGGCCCTGGGGTTTTATTCTGTGCTCCCAGCCTGCAAGGAAATATCGATCTTTTTTTTTAAAGTCTGAATAATTTTGTCTTAGAAGAAGTTAATACTTCAGTACTTCTCCACCGTCACAAGCAACAGCACCAATTTCGTGTCACTCAAAGGAAATATGTTAAGAGGCTGAACTCTGACGCCACACTAGCAGATTCAAGAATAAACCCTTAACTAGTCTTCATAAATTGTTAAAAAAATGAGTCAAGTGTTTCATTATTGGCCCTCCAAATCTCCCTCTGGGTGGTGCAGAACTTGATAAATTTGGAGTATCCAATCAGTAGAAAATCTAAAATCTACAAAAATATAGAACACATTTGTTTTACAAAAACAGACATTTTAACTTAAACAGTTTTCTTCATTAGTGATAGAGAGCAGGATGTTTAGATTCATATTTTAATACAAGCTATTTCATAAGAGCTTGCTGGAGAAGAAAATCTTGCTTCATGTCTATGACACTTACAAAAACTAACAGATGAAAAAAATCTGATAATAAGGACTGGAGCAGCCTTCATTCAAGTAACATTTTACAAATCATAATAAAAACAATCTTTCTACTATTACGTAAATTTCCATTCTTCCCCAGCACCTTCTGTGAGTAGGGTGGGCTAGTTCTAAGCATTTGATATCATATCTCCCTATTTTTTTAATTAGCAACCTTCTTGTAAATTCCTCCAAAAATTAAAGGAAAGAAAAAACACAACCGAGAAAAAGCATTTCCCTCTTTACTGCAATTTGATCTAAAAAAAGGAATTACTCATCAAACCTGCAATGGACATTTGTCTGCAGACACTTCCTGACCATTGATTCATTTGGCTGTGGATTTTTTTTAAATGCACATTGAAGACGGCAAGCCTCTGCAGAGCTGGTCTGCCCTGGCGCTGGCTGCGGGCCGGCTAAGATTTCTCCACGAGAGCAGTTACGACACCACGTGAATTGATTTTCTCTGCAGTGACCGCTCCAGTCTGACTGGCACCGCGACTGCCTCCCAACACATCCCATTAGGGTGCGAGGCAGATGACAGCAGCTGGTGTCAGATTATAGAGGTGTTTTCAACAATGAAAACACAGCCCCTCCATCTTCAAGGCAACACTAAATCATTTAGATGGCATCGTTTTGCAGTTAAGAGCTTGATATTTGGACATAGGCGACTCTAGCGTTGGAAGGGCCCCCCAGCTTTCTTGAGCTCGGAGGACACCAAGCATTTCTGAAATCCCTTTTCTCCCACCTGCATTGTTTGGAAGTACTTGTTGCCGGGTAACAGTTTAGCAGCCATTTTCAAGGGCTGGGGATTTTTTTTTTAATATATATATAGATATCTTTTTAAAATTTTTAAATGTTCTATACACTAGTGGGGGTTGCACATGATTTTTCCCCTTGGAATGCAGTTAGCAAACGCTTTTACCAGATGCATAATCTGAAAACTGTGTAAAATAATATTGCAATCTCCGAATTGGTTGGCTCAGTTGCGCTCCTCCTGGGCCTTGCTGCCTTCCTCCGTTAACTCCGCTGAGCTCCCCGCCTTGACAGCTGCGGGGTCTTCGAAATTCCCAGAAGCCTCTGAGTCGACTCTGGAGCGCTTGAACCTGCGGTCGGGGTATTGGCTGTTGTCAAAAGGCATGCGATGGACACAGAGGACGTGGGTCTTCAGATTTCCCTTCTGAGAGGCACTGTAGGGACAATAGCGGCACTGGAAAGGCCTGTGACCTACGGGCAGAAAGAGTGGCCAGTCAGTTCTGCTGTGTTACCCCTCCCCGGCTCCCAGCATCCAAAGGACCATGATCATTAGTACCAGTGCAATATCAGCAGTGTTATCTCCTTGCAAAGGTCAAATGGCAAAGAATAAAGATGCAGCCAATATATCTATTTGGATAAGTAATAACTTACTTGGATAAATAATAAGCTGCAGTTTAGTTGCTAAGTCATGTCTGACTCTTCTGCGACCCCGTGGACTGTATAGCCCACCAGGCTCCTCTGTCCATGGGATTCTCCAGGAAGAATATTGGAACAGGTTGCCATTTCCTTCTCCAGGGGATCTTCCCAACCCAGGGATTGAACCCATGTCTCCTGCATTAGCAGGTGGCTTCTTTACTGCTGAGCCTTCAGGGAAGCCTCAAACAATAAGTTACTAAATAATAATAATAATAACTTGGACAAGGATTTAAAAGATCTTTCCATCCTAGCCAGGGTTTTTAATTCAGCCTTTTTAGGTGAGAGAAAAGAAAGTTCCAACACCTGGAAATTCTTTTATAAAAAGTAAGATAGCAAGGATTTTAGACTTTGCAGGCCAAGATCAAAGATATGACGTAGATACTTATATAACAAGAGAGGAAATAAATTTCCAACTTTTTGTTGATGAAATTCAAAACTTTATTTATGGACACCGAAATTTGAATTTTATATAATTTTCATATGTGATGAAATATTATTCTTGTTGGGCTTTTTCTTCCAACCATTTAAAAATGTAAAAACCATTCTTAGCTCCACAGGCTGTATGAGAACAGACAGGAGGTGGATTTGAGCCCTGGACTAGACTTTGTGACCCTCAGTTCAGTTCACTTCAGTTCAGTCGCTCAGTTGTGTCCTACTCTTTGCGACCCCATGAATCGCAGCACGCCAGGCCTCCCTGTCCATCACAAACTCCCGGAGTTTACTCAAACTCTGCACAAAAAAACCCATAAATCCCTCCATCTGGGATTCTGACTCAGATCTCCAAGCCAATTCACTTCCTCATGTCCCCACCAACTCTACTGATAAGCAAGTCAAGCATGACCAGAAAGTGTGTTTGGGGTGAGAGGGATGGTCCCTAAGCCTTGTTCTTCGGTGGAGTGGAAGTGCCAAGCTGGAGGAATTTGGAAGCTCTGTTTCAAGAGGAGGCAGCAGAAAGTCTCAGACAAGAACTGGGACACTCAGATAATTAAGGCCAGCCTAGTTTTAAAGAAGTTCAATTTTGAATGGTGATGCCCGGAATCAAACTTCTCTAGAAAGGCTGTAAATAAGAACAGAAGATGGATTCTTGTGAAAAATCCACCTGCTCCTTCAGGCTTCATTTCTCTGTTCTGATGCACCACAGACATGCACACATCTCTGCTATCTTTAGGAACCAGTAAAGCATCTAGTTTGGGAAGTTATAATGGGACAATGCATTTTGCCCAATGCTGGGAAGCTGTGGCTATGCCATTCCTGGAAGTCCATGAGTGCTGTCCCACCCAGCACCCAGAGAGGTCAAGACCCAGCGCTGGGTTTCATTTGCTAAGGAAAATAAACAAGCAAATAAATGGGCTCAATTGTTTACCCCAGAAAACATCTGAACAGCATATTCATCACTTTTTCTAGAGCATAATAGCAGAAGTCCTGGGTAACTACTTAGCAAAGCAGTCTTGTTTTTGAGAAACTGGAGAGCAACCAAATGTTTGCAACTGAAATTCATTTCCTCACCAAATTGCACACAGTGCTAGATTCTTGCTCCTTTCTTAGTGGGCTTCGGGAATTAGCTCTCTCCATCTTCCCTTCTAGCCAGTTGGTCCCCAGGTCAAATCCGTTCTACCTGTTGAATCTTTCTACTTCCCATACTCCCGTTCTGCGCCTGGTCCAGTGTACACCAGCTCATGCTAGACTATGAACATGGCAGCCTGCAGGAGAGCTTCCTGCTTCCCGTTTCCCCACTTCCTGCCCGTCCTCCCCAGGTATACCAGAGTGAGTACCTAAAGCAGAAGCTCAGCTCTGAGTTCCCTGTCCAAATCTTTAATGACCACCTATCCCCCTGCCTTTACAGCTCAGCCCAAACACCTCTCCTGTCTCCGGGAGCCTCCCCTGTTTGCCCACCCCAAACCAAACCACTAGATGGTCTCTGCAGACGGGCTTCATTCTGCAGGGTCCCTATGCTTGACTGTGCTACCTACTCCCTGAGACATCACTTCTGTTCTCTGCAGACCCAAAGCCCATTCTCCTTTCAAGACTCTGTTTTGTGTGGCTGTGGTATGTGTGCGTTGGCCGCCAGGATAGACTGTGAGATCCTGAGGCAGGAAGCATAGCCATCTTAATATCACTGGTGCCAAGTTCTCTGCTTGGCACAGAACAAGCAGGTATGAACTGTTTGCAGGGATTGCATTATTATTTTACTGTTTCCCCTTGCCTTTTTTTTTTAAGGAATTACAAATTTTCAGATAGAGTTTTCTCTTCTTTTGTTTCTATTGTTGTACCTAATGTGAGACTGAATTTGGTCAACTTTCCTACTTGCATAAGTCCATGGAATGGATCACACTTGCTCTTGGCCATTCTACATGGCCTACCACAGCAAGAAGAGCACAGACTGTCAGAAGGAGGGGCCTGGACCACAGTTATCAAGTAAGAGAAGGATCTGTGGGTACAATTTGTCTCCTGCCTTCCTGCTATCCAACCCCACCCTTAGGGCTTGGTCACCCCTCATATAGATGACAGGGAAGACTCTGGGTTGGTGCAGAAGGAGAACTGAGGCTCTGTTTCTAGTGGACTTAGGATATTTGTGAATAGTGTGCATGGCCCTACTTTTCATTATGTTGGAGTTAAAGCATAGACTGAAGGGAAGAATCATGCTGTTGATCAATGGCAGTGGTGTAGGAAAAGTCATGCCCATTCTCCCCACCATAATCATGGATCTTTGTCAGCGCTAAGTTGGGCATCAGTGAGTTTCCAACAGATCCCAAGGCTCAACCATCCAACTCACGAAGTCATCATCCCTGTGGACGTGAAGTTATGTCCAGGGCTCAGTGAGGTGGTTTGAGGTTCTCTGATAGGGCAGCTCTTGAGTGGAAGAAAGAAGGAAGCACAGTCCAAGTCTGCAGCTGGAGGCGTAGGAACCAACTCAAGTTCATTCAGAGAACCTGAGAGAAGAGTTGAGACTTCCCTCAGGAAGCCTAAGAAACCTTTTTAAAGTTTTGTCCAAAGCTTCTCATAAATGGACTATATCTTCTGGGTTCCCATCAAGGGCAGCTCTGCCGCAGTTCACAAAGGAAAGGTGATGCTATCCTAATTACCATGGCTCAGATAAAGCTGGGGCTAACTCATCAATTCACTTATTTTATGGCAATAAGTTACTGATGGGGAAAATCATCATGACAAGACTTTGGAGCTAAAAACTCCAAATAATAATTAAAAATAAATAAATAAAATCAAAACTCTCAGCACCATAATCCAAAGAGGCTTGCAGAACCATGAGGCAAATGACCAAACCATGGTTTTGTTTAATAAATCTACTTTGGATCACCATGATTCATCGGGTTCCTACATTCTTCCACTGTTTTTCCCCATCTGTCAAAGTTGCCTATTATACTTCCTATTATTATTTCTGTATAAATCTGTGCTACAAACTTTGGAAGCCACCCTCTCTGCGAATTGTGTCACTGTGGGAACCACATGCATCTTGTCAAACCAAACAGAGAACCTCAGATATCACCTTTATTCATGATAAAAGCTTTTTTGAATTGGCCAACTTGGCATAAAGGCACTTAGTATAATTTTGTCACCAACTGATTTTAAATATTAATTATTATTTTTATCCTATGATTATATCTGAATCTGTACCTTGGGAGAGTCAAAGATGTACAATAATTCTGGTGTATTTGGATACTTCAGTGGTCAAACTATTAGTATTGAAGTCGTTTTTATTTTAACTTCTGTGAGCTGAGAAGTTATACATAAAGGTATAATGTTATGCAGGTGTACATTTGTAGAAGGAAGTCTGTACAATATTGGAACCATGATAAGTCTTGATCTTACATTGTTCTTTGTAAATAGAAGCACTGTAGGTAGTGATAGTACCTGAAGATCCCAGAGGCCTCTGTCCCACAGGTTTTCACAAAGATGTTTGTATGTTTATCCTCATATTTGAGCTGCATGGCTTCTATGTCAAAAATATCAACCCCGTAGCTCAGATGAATAACTTAAAATAGAGTTAACTTGGATGGTTTGACTTTAAAACAAATTTCAGGTGTGTATAAGGTACTCAGATCTCCTAATTCTCTAAAATTCTTATAAGAACTATATGTTATTTTTAGGATTCACACACACACACACACACACACACACACACCCTTCTAAGTGGTTTGTTGAAAGGTTCCCATGAGACTGAGGTGGAAGAAAAGTTTTGAAGAAATGAGACATCCATCCTGAGGGAAGGTGATTGTGAGGAGCCGAGTTGGGGCCAGAAGAAAGCATTGTGTTCCCCTGAGAATGGGATGTAAGTGAAAGGTTGATCCTTTGGTGATGGGAACATTTACTCCCAAGCAGAAAGCTGTTGGTATGCAAAGCACTTTTGGAAACTTGATTCATTTCCCAGTCTAGCTAAATCTGGATGAAAAGTTTCCAATTTCTCTATACCATTTGTCCATGCGAAGCCCCTGGTATTGGCACAAACTCAGTGATCTGTTACCTTTGGGTCAAAGAACACACCCTATGCTTTCAGAACAAACCCCACAGCTGGGAGCTCCACTGAAATTTCCACTGTGGTTTTCCAATACAGGTGACAGAACAAAGGGCCCACCTGAATGCAGAGGCAGCGAGGGGGCCAGGGAAATCCAAGGGGAGCTTTCTTACTTTCCTGCTAAGGTGGGTGTGGGGCTCCAAGGAAATCAGATCCCTGGATGGAGATAGGTCAACACATCCCCCGAGGAGAAGCCCTCAGGGTGACACGCTGCAGACTTCCATCTGGCACATTTTAATGAGAAGAA